AAAACCGGCTTTGGTATACACCCAAAAATTTTGATTTTGGCGCCAAATTTTTATCAAATTTAGTTCAGCGCGGAGCAAGCACCAAATTTTCTAATGCTATCATTAGACAAAACAATTCAACAAGAACTCGATTTTATTGAATCCGATAGTTTAGAATTATTTTATAATGGGAACTTTATCCAGGAACAAATGTATATCTTGACTCGCTCAACAGCAATTGTATATTGGTCGACCATGGAAATAGTGAAACGACACTCATGGATCTACCGAATAAATTATGTCAGCTATTAAACATAAAAGGATTTAAAGATAAAATTCGACTTTTATTAAAAGCAACAATAAAAGAAATTACGAAGTATTTTGAGAAAAATTCAATTGAAACGCCAACAGACCAGGATATGGTTTTATTGGAACAATTCCCAGTATCAGGTAAGTGTATACACACAGTTGCTGATAGACATACGAATAAGCTGCACTTTTTCATTTCAACCTCTTTCAATGGTATCACAGAAAAATTGAGAAGACATTTATATAAATTCAATGTTAGAATTTATACTACATTGAATCACAGTTTAAGAACTATCCTAAATAAGTCAGAGAAAATAGCATTAGGTAATAAGAATTTTGAAACAAACAGTAAAAAAATATAAAAATACCACAATAAGAAGTAAGGAACATGTAAATGAGTTTGCGATATATGGAATTCCTTGTTTTTGTGGTAATACGTACGTTGGAGAGACTATATCGTTTAAACAGAGGATAGTACAACATCAAAAGAAAATAAAGATGAGAGATTCTGAAAACTCCGAATTAGCAAAACATTTTGAAAATGGAAATGCATGTGATATCAACTTCGAAGACAGTGTAGTTTATGATAAAAAGAAAAATGTATTTAGGAGAATCAGTATACACTATAGCAAACCGGGTATAATAAATGTAAGACTATAAGCCCACAATGGAAATCTACTATAAGAAAATGGGTGAAACCATGCAGTAGTCTAAGATTTTATGAGATGGAGGATCGATCCACTTTGATCTGATTCTTCGATGTGACTTTTTCTTGGTTACAGTATGATATGTCACTTGACTAGTTTATTTTTATGTTTCCACATTATTCGCCTCTTGTTTCGTTTCATTTTGATTGTTCGTTTTAGTGGCGGCGCCAGGGGTGGGCTGAGCCCACCCGAAAGGAAGTTAAGCCCACCCTGAAATTTTTTTTCAGTGCTGAAACTTTTTCAGTGTTCCCAAAATGGGTGGGCTAAGTCCACCTCAGAGCAAGATCCTGGCGCCGCCACTAGTTCGTTTTAGTTCTTCGTCATATGTGAGGTCATATATGAGAAAAAGGAAAATAAGAAATAGACGGAAAGAAGAGAGAGAGAGAGAAAAATATATAGTTAGAAATAAATTGTTCGTCAAAGGCCGGCCATAACTGTAGATTTAACATCTAACTACAGACGTGTATTTTTGATTTCAATGTAAAAATTCTTTTTAAAAGTTGTTGCTACTGATGAAGACGTGGGTAAACGTCGAAACGTTTAGCTATTTAATTTTATAATAATTGTACGAATAAAAGTATATTAAAAATATTGTATCAAACATTGTGCTGTATTCGTATTAAAATAATCCAATAACCTTTGTAAAAAGAATTTGAATACTAAAACGGTTCTGTCCAGCCAACATCATGACCACATACATCATGGAAGGTTGCGGGAAAATAAATGAGAAGATCAATTTTACACATCTCTATTCTGCAGAAAAAAGCGAGGCAGATCTTAGTGTTATTGACGAAAGAAAAGCATAAGAATGATGACAAAAATATCCATTGAAAGGAAAGATGGAACACAACGATCTACTGATAAAAAAATCTGTTGAAATGCCTATGACGGTCAGTTTCACCGTCATCTGATCGACCATCCATAGTGACAAAATGCAGTAAACTTATTAAAAATTTAATTGTATTTTTTAGAAGTACAATACATATAAGTTTAAAGCGTGACAATATTGTTTCCTGTTTAGGATATCTTCGTCAATTATTAATCAAACAGTTTGAGAAATTCATCAAAGCTAATCTGACCGTCACCACTGGTATCTAATAATTTTATCATAACATCAATGTCATTTCTTCTCATTCGTTTACCCATTCGTGCAAAAATTAACTCTAATTCCTTTGCTTGGATGTAGCCATTACCATCTTGATCAAATATTCTAAATGTTTCATATAATTCTTCACGTGTATATTTTTTAAACAAAGCCGGTCCCATCACTCGACAAAACTCGTCAAATTCAATGGACCCTAAAAAATAGCAAGATAGAATTCGAAATAAAGAAGAACAATTCGACAACACTCACCACTACCATCGGAATCCAATTGAGACATGAATTGCTTTAATTCATTGTCACTCACTTGAATATTTAGCGCATTTAACACTTGTTTTAATTCATTACCGGATATTTTTCCTGAATGATCTAGCGAAATACGAAGAAATAAAACAACTGAATATTGAATCATACTGATCATGTAAAAAAGAAATGCGTTTAATTATGTATTTGAATACGGAACATGAGTGCCTTCAAAAGTTGGAATGCGTGACACGACATTACCGCGAACGACATTACCGCGAATACAAAAAACGACATTACCGCGAACGACATTACCGCGAATACAAAAAACGACATTACCGCGAAGACACGTTTATAGGAAAAGAAGAATAAATGAGCCG